AAACCACCTATAGTGAACATCATCCAACATGGCTGCCACTTTTATTCCCTTAGGAATGATCATAAACCACCTATAGTGAACATCATCCAACATGGCTGCCACTTTTATTCCCTCAAAATAATTTTTGCAACATAAATCATTATCATTCGTAATGGTATCCTTTTTCTTGTTATTCATCCAGAAATCGTCTGGAGTCGCCAGCCTACCGGCAAAAGTTGAAAAAATGTCAAAGGCCATCTTCAAACTCGTCCAAAACAAGAACATGACAGCTCTCAATGTTACAGTTAACAATGAGAACATAGGTAAGCAATATCCATTGGTCACTTGTATAATACGGACATCTCTGTATTACGGACACTTTTTTTGGTCACTGTTGCACTTATTCTGGGCACTTTCTTTGTCTAGCATTAAGCTAATCTCATCTGTATTGTGAAGTGACGAATAGACCCCTTGCAGCACGTTGGAATGCAGCTCAATCTGGGGGACAAAACAATAGATTCCAATTCTCATGAGATTGGAATTCTTTTGTTTTGTCCTCCAGATCGAGTTGCTTTGACGTCACATGCAATGGGTCTAAACTAAACTGAAACCAAGCTAAAGAGGTCTATTTAGTATAAATACTTGATTTTCAGATCTTCAGTTTGAAGTGGCTAAAAGGAAAGATTTTCAAGGCTTGGCATACAGTGGTAAAACAACACGAGTGGAACTGGGCAAATCTCTCGTACACGACGACTCAAGAAACAATCAAGATGGTAAATTAGGATATTATTTAATTATTATTAATTATCTTCTATGATTTGTGAATTTTTTAACTGGGAGTTTTATCAGCTGGACACGATAAAATCTATACTAAAATCTGCGATTGAGAACCTAAAAGTATAAATATAAGAAAGGAGAAAATTAAGTATAATATATACATATATACACAGAAACACGAAAACCCCGCATCCACAAAACACATATATCCATTGTATATACATATTATATATACATTATTATTTTTGTCGTGTTTCATGTTTGTTTTTCCCTTTTTTTTTTCCTCTCAGTTTTATCGTTGGGATGTTATCTCTCGAAGCATACTTTTTATTTCATCTCTTATTTCGTTCATTCATTCATCCATTCATTTATTTATTTATTTTCTCACAGTCTCGTTTGTTCTCCTATGCAATCAGCTATTCACTCGTCCTTCCCCTTATTCCTTCGTTCATTCTCGAGTTAACTCATCCATTAATTGATTATTTAATTTGTTTCATCCAATATTTACATCACTTTGGCTGACAAACCATTTTTATTCGCTGTTGGAAAATTGATAGACTGTACAGCTTTCAGGATGTCTTTTTATATACTTTACGCTTTCCAATGAAAAGCACTGACATCTAAAAAGCAATTGAATTTGCTGGTACATAGTTGGAGTGAACAATATGCAAAACACCAAGACTTCAAATTATTTGCCACTCTATGCTTTCTAAATTTTCTACGTGTTTGCCCCCTCGGCATCCCATAATTCAAGATGGCCGCCGTACCAGTAAAAAGATCTATTACACTTTGAGAAGACACAAAAGGCTATCGATCTCGTAATCACTACCTATTAACCAATTATCATTTTATCTTACAGATTTCGTCGGGGTCACTATTGTCGTCTACAAGAACCTTGACGTACACATGGCCGCGAATGGTGTCCCTGCACAAATGTAAGTATGTTAAACAGTTGCTATGGCAACCAGAAAAGGTCACTGAAACCTTACATTTAATATTTGTTGGTTAATGGCTTTTCACAGGGTGACCGATGGTGAACCAGTGGTCAATTCTGATGTTATTTCAGTTAAAGTGATCAACGTGAACCAGGAATACCTAGCAACGTTACAAGATCCTGTAACGCTGCATTTTTCACACAAAAAGGTGAGACTTTAGAGCTTTTGAGTCGGTGACATCAAATCGAGTGGAAAAAAGAAAAGCAGTTGTATAAGGATTTTATTTTACTTTTTCTTCATGACAGCATTTGTTGTGAAAAGTTCTAATTGTTTCAGGTTAAGATTAAATCTATGAGAACTACATTTTTCCTTTATTTTAGTGATTTTCGTGAGCAGTTAGTTAGACCCCGAAATACGAAACAACTTAAAAGTTCTGTATCGACTGATTGAGGGTGACTGAACACCTCAAAGAAAAAATCCAAAAATGCAAGGTCATGATAGTCTTAATTTCGTTTCTTTCGTTGTAATCAGTTAAACATTGCGGTAGCGAACCCATGTTTGGTAAGCGATATACGCCATATTTGTTAACAAAAACTAAATAAAGTCATTTCCCCCCGAATATCTAGTTTCATTATATCAATTTTCATATAATTAAATCGAGTTTTGAATGGTTTTTTTTCTCAGTGGTCCAATGCGCAGCCATACTGCAACTTTATAAACGACACGGCTGCTTCTCTGTGAGTATAGTATTTAGTATTCTTGGAGTGGAACCTTGAACGAAAAATCCCTTGAGATATAAACAACAACGAAACAGCCGCCATCTTGGTTGATCTAACAAGAGAAGCTTAACGAGGAATGCTATGTTCTCGTCAACCAACATGGCGGCTATGACGTAACATGCACCCCAAGAATTCCCAATATTGTTAGAGAAAACCCAGGAAGAAGAAGGAAGGAGCCTTAGGAAGTGTTTCGATCATGGACTCATCATGTTAAAGAAATTCACCTTGAATTTCCCATTTCTCTCCGTTTAGAATCTCGAATGACAATATGCTGTGGGCTTCCGAGGGATGCTGGGTAAACAGTTCCCATGGCAACGTCACCGTCTGTCAATGTAACCACACAACCAGCTATGGGTTGTTGATGGACGTTCATCAAGTATATGTGAGTATGCTAAGCACGCAATGCATTGTTCGACATGCCAAAAAAAAAAAAAGAAAAAAAAATCAAGTGTTTTCTATTATCTCTTGTCAAAACAAAATACTTTTAGCAGCAACGAAAAACTTATTTGCAAACGAAGAAATATATTTGGTGAATCTTTACACGAATTAGTTCTACTTTCTTTATCTTCGAGTAAATGCTGTTGTTTATCGAGCCGCGGAAAACCTGGAACTAGGAAATAACAAACTGTTCGCTGATTGGTTAATTCATTTGGGCTGAAAGAGAAGCAAAATCAGTTGATAAAGAGACCAATCGGATCGTACTGTCATGGGTTGCTTACGTCATTCTCTTTTATCAGGATAATCTACACAATACACATAAAGAGGCCTTGAGGTACATCTCTCTGATTGGCTGCTCGATATCCATTATCTTCTGCTTTTTGACAGTCCTGGCTTTGACACTGGCAATGTAAGTACCTTTCAGTTGAAACCTTAGTTATTTAATCAACCTCTGACACAAACTGATTCTTTTAGTATATGTTTCAAGGAATGCTAACATAACACTTCACTTGTATGCAATCATCGGACAAAGTTTGGGGGCGACATTTGACAACAAATGCTTTTTATTGGACTCTACATAAAATGACCCACAATTCCATGCGAGAATAATCCATCTCGTCCCCAGTCTCCATGTTATTTGTTATTGTTATTTCTGTTGTTTTTAAACATTCCTTTAAACGTGTATCAAAATTTCAAATTTCTCCACGACTGATTATATTATTTCAGGCGTCGTCCACTGGAGAAAAAAGCGAGGTTCGAGACGTTCAAACTCCACATCAACCTTGTCATTGCGATAGGATTCGCGCAGATTTGGTTTGTCGTTGGATCCTTCTTAGTCGACGTTGAACTGGTAAAGATATATCACGATCTCTTGTTTGCTAAACATACTTTGATTCATAGAACTATCATTTGTGACGTCACTCGTTTTCATAACGGTTTTTTAATTTGCGTAGCGTTATAAGGAAGAAAATCCCGTTTTAAAACGTATTTTGGTTGCAACGTCGAAAGACCTCAACTATGTGGTGCAAACTGACTCACCCTCCCCTCCCTTCGCTTCCAGGTGGCATGTCGCGTCGTATCCGTCTTTACTCATTATTTCCTGACTGCATCGTTCTGTTGGATGTTGGCCGAGGGAATCAACGTCTACAACAAGATCGTTAAGGTCTTCAGTACCAAGAAATATGGAAAATTCTACTTCACTCTTGGATGGGGTAAGGACAGTTCTATTGCCTATTCTTGTCTAGCTTGGGTAGAAACAACACCATATAAGGCATGGTGAACTAAAGATGTTTGTACCCAAGCTGGTCCAGCATGCAATGTAATTGCTATATTAGATAAGGCTTAAGATATAAATCAGTGAATGATAACATAGGCACGGGTATGTAGAACACTTGTAAAGAAGTCGTTATGCTTCGTAATTCAAATAAACCCTGTCAAGTGAAGAAATGAGAAGGGGGGAAAAGGTCCTCGTATCGAATGTTCAACAATAATTACTGATCTTATCAAAATCCATTGTTTTCAGTCTGCATTATCCCAACGAATGCATAGAGGAAAATCAGACATTCATTATTGGCTTTGTTTCTATGATAAACAAGCTAGAAAGAAAACAATTGGATTTTGATAAGATCAATAATTATACTAGATAATCACTTCGGCACGCAGCATTCGTAGGTATAATGCAGTAATTATCTATTAAATAACTAGGTATATACTCTTGCTCTATTAATCAGGTGTTCCATTGGTCCTGGTTATAGTCACATCTGCGGCCGTGTTCAACAAGTACGGACCACAAAATATGTAAGTAATAGAGAGTTACCCGAAATCATGATGTGGTATCCCTGTGTTACAATGCATGGTTTGTTGCATGCCTTCTAAGTTAGTCTGAAGCTCAAATATCTGTTATAAAGATAGTTACATAAAGGACTACGCAAAGATACAAGCCATCAGGGGACAACTAACTTGTAACAGAAACTTATAAGTTTCTGCTAGTCCGACATTTGTTCTCCCACAATAGCCAATCTCGTACCAAAGCCTTACTTCTTACTGCGCATGCTCGACAAAATAATTTCATTGAGCATGCGCAGAAAAAAGGCCTTGCGAAAGATTGCGAAAGTAGATAGAGGATTTCAAACGTTGACATCACACTTGTCGCAGATCTAAATCTTGATTGCAATAATTCCTTTCTTTATCAGCTGTTGGCTACAAGAAGAGGTCATCTGGGTGTTTGCTGTCCCAGTCCTTGTCATCATAGTCGTGAGTATCAACTTTTAAGAAGTCACGTGATTATTGTCCACGATGACAGTCTGTCCTAGTCAGTTCTTTTTCTATATCCATGCACATACCGCTGTTCTTAATGACCTCAGACTTATTTATATTTAAATATGTCGCGGCTAGTTATTTCAATATCACATCCCACATGGAAAGGAGTAACTAGGTCATCAGCGATACAAGCGACTATTAACGACTATTGGGTCTGCTGGTCATAGCAAGGGGTTAATCATCCACGGTCTAGGGGCCGACTAACCTCTCCCTAAGGCTCCGGCCGAGCTTCCTGATCAGTCTGTAAATCCAGGGATAGCGGTGTCGGGGCCGAAATCTCCGGCGTAGCCGTAAATACTTCGCGCTGCCATACGACGGTTCAGCACTCGATGTCTGGAAGTATAGTCCTAAACTTATCACCAAAAAAAAACTAAAAAAAACCCTTAAACTAATCTTTGGTCGCTAACAAACAAACTTGTTTAAATATAAAGACAAAAATTTGGTTGAAAGAGTAGGGTCACTCTACCTTTACGTCAAAACTCTAAAAAGTCGACAACATACTCTTAACGATTTTCTTTTCTTTTTCAGGCCAATTTCTTCGTCCTCTTGTCAGTTGTCTATGTGTTGCTGCGAAAGACCATGGCATTCACTTCTCTTCCAAACAAAGCAAAAGAAAGTCCTAAAGTCAAGTAAGTATCAGATTCGTCTGTGAAACTTCAAAATGGTTTGTAATCTAGCCAAGTTCAGGCATTGAATCCCCCTGACCCTCTGACCACTCAAGTTTAGTACTCGGTGAGCTATCCTTACTTTTCTAGGAGTGTCCAGTATCTATAGACTATTCACTTTCCACATTGATGGTTTTCAACCATTCCCAAGAGAATTAAATAACTAGACATGCCTGCCATGTTGGAGGATATAACAAAAGAATTAATTGACAATTCTGAAAACCATCAATAGAATTTATCATATAGCGATATTCACGGTTCACAAACATTAGCATCAGGAATCTTTTCTCATTCAAATTTGCCAACCATTAAAACAAAAGATCTCTTTGTTTTAGTAACCAATAGAACTCCGGTTGGTACATTAACATCAATAGGTGACGTCAGCTTAAAGTATAGCTATCCAGTGCTTCGCGGTTAAAACCTACCGAAAAGAAATGAGGCGAGAGTCTCTAGAACCCAGGGTAACCAAATAGTGACCTAGCAACAGTCCCAGAGTTGGGAAATGTAGGGAGGGGGAGGGGGGGGGGTGCGAATTTTAGCCACGCCCTCTCATCCACCCTACCAACTAATTGACAGATATTGTTCTTTTCGTCCTTGTAGACGCACCTTCAAGGTTACGGTGGTTCTCCTTCCCCTTCTTGGTCTGACCTGGGTGTTTGGTTTCCTTGCCATTGACGAAAACTTCATCGTATTCCATTACCTCTTCGCCATCATCAACTCTCTTCAGGCAAGATGAATGTGTTATTGAAATTTGTATGGAAAATGCGCCACATCGTGAGAGGTTGTCGCTCAACATTTTTCCATTCAAGTCCTTATATCATGGTCAAGCGAGATTTAAAATCAAATATTTTTTCTTTAACCACAGGGCTTCTTCATATTCGTCGCTCATTGCTGGATCAACGACTCGGTAAGAAAATAATGTTTTATCACTTGAAATACGCCATTCTCACGAGAGAATGCTCCAGCATGGTGATTTTTAAGCAAGGAGGGAAAGATGCGATAAATGAGTAAATGAAATCTCAATCATTCACGAACGATAAGTAAATGGCATACATGAAAAAATCTGAATAATTCAAATTCGTAAAACTCTATGCCTAAACTACCTAAATGGACTCCTCTTTTATAACGAGAAAATCTTTTTCCCCCAGATAAGGGCAGCACTGCTGGAAAAATTGCCATCATTCCCAGACAAGTACAAAGGTGGAACCACGAGTGCTGAAGGCAGCCAAAAGGGTACAACAGTGGATTCAGCCACGTTCGACACACTCACTCAATCTGTTCCAATGCCTGTGCACATCACCATGTCAACTGTACAACTCCTGAACCTCGGTAAGAACGCCGATTGCAAAACCTCGAGCGAGGCTGTCAATGACTGCATGGATATGGAGGAAGACAATCAACTACCTGGACTTGCCCAGTAAGAACACCGCAAGAACTAATTATAATTGAAAGTTATAAAACGACTTTATGTTAGGTCCTTCCCCTTTGACCAAGGAACCAGTTAGCTCAATTTCGACTTCGAAATGGTTTTGCCAACTGTCCTTATAGTTTAACCTCAAACTCAAGTAACCTATTTACATTTGAGTGCTATTACCACTTAAATCTGGCATCCTCAATTGTGAACTAGGGACCAGGTAGTTCGACTAGTAGGATATTTTTTGATAGATATGGAAAGATATCTATTTCCGTCCCCATGTAAAGCTAGATAATTACTGGGATACCTGTGGTATCACAGTCGTAAAATGTCTTTTTTTTGTATTTTTACTAGATACATTAGGGTGTTTAGGGCAAGATATACCTGTTACATACATATACTCATTTCATCCAGTTGGGTCACTAAGCATTATTGCACATTATTGCATAAGCATTTTAAAAACTCGGTTAGGTTAGTCATTTTTATCTGCCGATAGTGTTCAAATGGACTTACTGCGGTATTCGATATTCTGTAAACTACAATATTTCAACGGCTTGTTGTAAAATTGGTTTTCACTACCGCCAGTCAAGAACATGAAAGGTACCGACTGATTATTTTTGATTGATGGCAGCGAAAAACCAAATTTCAGCGTGCAGCTTGTAACCACCGAGTTTGCAGAATACCGAAGAAACCTTTAATTTTTTGGGGTTGGTCTAAGTTAGAGCATGGCTAACACACAGATCAATTTAGTTAATTACTTACTTACAGATATTTACAGATAGTTAATTAACATACAGATGAATTTAGTTCGTGAAGTTTTTTGTAGCGATGAAAACCAGAGAAACTTAAGGAATGTCCACGGTTCGAGGGCGAGACCTAACGAACTGTACTCACAGGTCAAGCCGCGTCCAGGAATCGAACCAGAGACCAACAAGGTGCAAACCGAGTAACCAATCGAATAGGAAGCAAATGTAAATAATCGGTGTTTAATATAGTAATCTGTAAATTGTGGACGGTAATTATTGGATACTTACAGCGCTTCTTAATTCACAAGCTTGAAATCGTACAATTTGGGGTCGTCACGAAGTAGGTTTTTGTGGACGCAATGAAGGCGTTCCATGACATTCCATAGGTATGTACATTTGAAAACTGTTGAAAACACTTTGATTTGATTAACGTCTACCCGTCGCAACTGCCGGGAAGCTGTACTATTTCACGCGAGTGATTGGGAAGTGCTGTAAAGTATTACTTTTATAGCCTAAAAAAATAACCCCTTTTCGAATATGACGCCCTTTTGACATCTAACCACAGGCAGCCCAAGCTGTATTGTGGGCGTGGGAAAAATGGTGCAAAACCTCTATAGGAAAGCATGTTAGCTTAGTACATACCCGTCAAGAACTTTAAACAACTTTGTAAATAATATAATCAACTGTCACCGTCTAGTAAAAGTTTGAAGATGTAAGAAGTAAAAACAAAAAAGCTCCATAAATAAATGTTTGTAAAATTCACCTGGTTTGGTGATCGAATAGAATCAAATTCACGAATAGGATGTAGAAAAATGAGCAAATTCATGGGAGTATTTCGGTGTTTTGGGAAGAAAATTTCAAAATTTAAGGGAGTTTTCAGCCAGGTAGAAAAACGTAAAATGAGTTGCATAAATAAAATGTTTGTAAAATGTACGGATGTTTGTAAAATGTACGGATGGTTTCTAGGAGTCATTGACGATAATCCAGTTTGGAGTTCTCTGTTGCTCAGGTCAAGCCCCGATTTAAGAATATTCACCGGGGGCGGATTCAAGAATTTTAGGAGGGGTGGGGGGAGGGGGTGTGACCATTACAAAGGTTTTACCAGGAATCCGAGGAAAAGGGGGTGACTTTTATCAACAATATACTGTGAAATTTGAGCAATAGGAATATATAAATGAGCTTCCAGGTATAGGGGAAAAAAGGCAGTTTATGACTGCATGTATCTACGGGGTAACGAATTTGAAGTGGTATAGAACAGAGTGGCATGGTGACGACTGTTAAAAATGAGTTTGCTTTGAATAGTTCAGGTTAAAATTCTAATAATCAGAAAAAACGAATAGTTTAGGTTAAAAATCGAATAATCTGAAAAAAACGCATAGCTCAGGTTAAAAATCGAATAATCAGAAAAAACGAATAGTTCAGGTTAAAAATCGAATAATCAGAAAAAACCCACGATTGTTCTTGTATCCGTTACGAATACTTTCCGAAGATTTGTACTATCTACGACCTCCACAGGAATCCCGTAGATACAAAAATGTGCCAAGTGATTGATTGAATAACCTCCAGATTAAACAAGAACATTTTATTGTTTGACCAAACATGATAAAACTTCGTACACCAACATTTTGGTTGTAAAGTGATTTCCTTGGAACATACCTGAAGAATATAAACAAAATGTGAACACAATAGCAATAATAGGCAATTTGCAACAAACAGTCACATGCTGATATAGTCTTTTGACTTAACGTTGTCGTTTGATCGCCTTCATCCCTACGCGCCTAGACCGAAAAGGATCATGGGGATAATTAATTTACAGTTACTAGCTGCCGCATATGTTATCTAACACGTCTTGAGCTCGCTGTTTTCGATTCCATTTAATTTGCTTAAAACCATGCCTCGAGCATACGGCGAAGATTTAAACTGGCGAGCAGTTTGGATGACGCAAGTTCTGGGTAATTTACCCGTTATGCTTTTCGGTCTAGGCGGGAAGGGATGATCCGATCGACTACAACGTTTAGTCAAAGGACTGTATCACTTTGATAACGAATCAATTCAGCTCAAGGTCCCTTGGGGAAGGATCTGCTGGATGGCAAAAAACTTTAAACTACTTCGTATCTCGAAATCGAAAGTATCTTATAATGGAAAAAAAAGTATTTTTGAAAAGTTTTTGGATATGACATTAGTAAGGTAGGGACCATTAGATTTTTGAGGGGGGTGGTGTAGGGTTGGGTAAAAACCCAAAACAATTTCGAGCACAGCCTCAAAGAGTGAAAAAAACAATCGCGCATAAAAAAAATTGCCAGAAAAAAAATCAAAATCATATTAAAAAAAAAAATTCCTGCGCAGCCATGAGGCGTAAAAAAATTCCTGCACAAAATAAATTGCCCAACCACCCTCCCCTCAAAAATCTAATCGTACGTTCCTAATCCAGCCAAAAATCTTTAAATAAAGAACTTCAATTTTTTTTGCCATCCAGTAACAATCACGTTGTTTGTATTGTTACACCTGCAAGAAATCACAGGGTGGAACAGGGAAAATTCGCGCAGTCTCTGCAAAGGAATGTTATTATGTTTGTCTAAGTACAGTAGTACTTGTATTAAGCGGACACCTTCGGGACCTTTCCAGGTTTCCGTTGAAAAGAAGTTCATTTAACAGTAAATAGATGTGAAAATCTGTACTCGTTGCAGCTGTCCGTTTAATATAGGGGTCCGCTTAATAGAGGTTACAAGTCGTTTACGTTGCCCCTAATAAAGACCTTTAGATCCGATGAGTACGAGAATAAGTACGAGTTTTTAACTTTAAAAGAGAGGCACTATCTTTTTGTAGTCGTGATCGAGTACGTAGATCGAAACTTTGGATTGTAAAAAATCGTAAATCAACTACGATTCAGTGTTAACCACGTGCACAGGACCAATTTTAAAACTCGTACTCGTTCTCGTCGTCGGATCTGAAGGTCAATAATATTTCCCTAGACCAAACTTGATCAGTTCATCCATCCATCATTCTTCCCCCTCAAGTCTGCCTTACCTTTGACTGAGAGCACAATACTTTTCCTGCGAACAGACTGATTGATTAGTAGACACAAAATTAGTACAACGTACATAGAGTCGAGAGTAAACTTATCCAAAACAAACATCTATATTCTTGAGGTGCAACCATATGGCCCAAAATCCCTCGAGAAATGAATAATGAAACGGCCGCCATGTTGGTTGATCTAACAAGAGTGCTTTGTTATCGTCAACCAAGATGGCGGTTATAACGTAACGTGTACCCAAAGAATAAATGAACATTTGCGAACCAAATTTTATGGAACCTTAACCCATTACAGGCCAATTTTCAAGTGCGCACCAGTGGAAAGGGAGTGGGGTGGGGTTCTGGCGGTGCCGATAACCCAAGGCTAGGATAAAAGGTTCAACAAAAAAGAAAGGCAGAAATCCAAGAACTCGCTTCAAGTATTAACAAATATCAAGGTTCTTTTTTTGGGATCTAAAGACATTACACAGAAATGAAGAGATTATATACCACATTGCGCGATAATTTTCAATACAAACATTATTTCGTTGGTGAGCTCCACGCACAGGTAATCTTCTTCGACGATGAATGATTGGCAGCGCTTCGAACTTTAAGTTTATTTAGTAGTGATAAATTCATTAGTATCATGCAGAACACTCTTGCTGTGGCGGTCTGAACATCCAGTGATATACATCTCAGGCCACATTGGTGACAATGGATGTCCATTGGCGTTTATTAAGTACGCCAAGACATTCTGAATACAGTAATGTCGGGAGAATTCTGTGGCCAATGTAGAAGTACCGTGCTTCCAAGCGTTACTTTCCGAGGCCGCCAGTATTTTTTAGCAATTTTAGCAACGAAGAAACAGAGTTTGCGCGCTGTAAGGCAATCATTTTGGAACCGCTTTCATGAAGCGAGATTTTCTTTTCAGAATTGTGCTCGACTGCTGAGACTCCGTGGTTGCAGAACTAAGGTACTATATGCTAAGGATATTGAATCAGAACTTGCGCGCATTTTCAAGAATTCCTGAAGTGGTTCCAGCGCCATAAAGTCATGACATTATCTGACGACTGACTCTTTAATTCCAGCATTAAGGTAGACGGCGTCTACATTGGCGTCTACAAGGAAGCTAACACGCTCTAATCTTTATTCAATTAATAGGTTAGAATTACCCTACAAACGAGAAAAATAAGCAACGCGTGACTCTAATTAAAATGGATTTAAAAGGGAAAAGAAACCAAAGTTAAATTGCTAAGTTCTTAAAAATGTTCTTAAAGTTCACATCTAAGGCGTTTGATATTTGGTTGATTTTACAGTTGATCAGCAACTATGAGAGTCATGTTGACAATCTTGCAATGATCTGCATCATCCAGTCTTTTAACAAACCGTTCAAAACAAGTCTATTTGTTTAATATCTCCTCATTCCACTGCTCCTCTGAGCTGCAGCTTTGTATGGGTCGAAGCGGACATCAGTGCCTCCTCCAGAGTGTCTTCTATCAGGACCCGCACCAGCACCGTAGGTACCACGCACGTCAGCAACAGGCATCGAGCCTGCAACAGCCCACCCAGAGGGGACAGCTTCTCTTGGGAGGGCAGAACCACGTGATCTGTCGTCTATCATCCCTCGACCTGGAAGCGGAGGTCCCGAAGGGTGGAGGGAATCTCCTCCCCAGGCCCCGCGAACAGCACTAGAGTCACGTGACAAGACAGCACGGTCGCGTATCTCGTAGCCATGAGGGGTAGACTTTGAGTCCATTCCACGGGCTCTTGACCGAGTTCTGCTCGCAAGTAATTCCGCACTGGGTTCACCACGCCAATCGCGTGAGGTCACTTTGACTTGGTCAGCAGCTGCAGCTGAAGGGCGATGCGCATGCTCAATGGCACCATAACGAGAATCAACTCCACCAACAACAGGCACGTGTTGTCCTCGGTCTGCTGACATGACAGATGGTCTGCCATCTCGCAGATCTGCCTGACGCCAATCACCGCCACGGTGATCAGCTGACAGAGATCGTCCGATATCGAGATCCATGCCTTTACCAAGATCCCCTCTGACTCCAGGGGCATTCGCCCCCAGTATTCCACTGACACCAGCCCGTTCTAGGAGTATTGATAAGCTTTTCTGTGGATCAATGGGACCCATATTCCCAGCGTTAGCACTTGCTATTCTCTCAGACCAACCTTTGTCACGATCGCTCGGGTGACGAACATCTTTACGGGAGTCACGCACTTCACCTCGTCGACTGTGATCATCTTTTCTGCGCCTGTCGTCACTGCGGCTGAAGTCATCATCATGTCGGCCATCTCTGCTGCCAGATCTTGAGTGCCCTCGAGCATCATCACGATGGCCTTTACTATCACGCCGATCTATCTGTACCTTGTCCTCTGACCGCCTCGAGGAAACTGCATCATGTGACCCAAGACTACCGCCAAAAAACGCGCGAGTATCTGGTCTGCTTCCTTCAACAGCAGCACGTTTAGGATCTTGCCAAAATCCAGCTCTTTGAGAGGCAGAAGTGTCTCTTTCAAAAGGCGCTGCCGGACGCTTGATACCTGACCCACGACGTTCGCGATCCAGTCTCTCTAGTCGTTCACGATCTAAGCGCTCACGATCAGCTCGTTCACGTTCCAATCTCTGTCGTTCTAAACGTTCGCGTTCAATACGCTTCAGTCTATCGGTCTCGATTCGTTCACGATTTAGCCTTTCACGTTCCATTATTAGTTCACGTTCTCGGCGTTCACGCTCGAGACGTTCGCGTTCTTCACGCTCACGACGAAGTCGTTCCAGTTCACGACGTCGTTCAAGTTCACGTTGCAATCGCAGTCTCTCTTGTTCCTGCTTCTGTCTTTGTTCACGCAAAAATTGTTGTCTTCTTCTTTCTCGTTCTTTCTCGCGTTCCCGTTCTCGTTCCCTCTCGATTGCTCGTTCACGGGCGATACGTTCTCTCTCGCGTCGAAGCCTCAGCGCTCTTTCACGTTCACGTTGATCTCTCATTTCACGAGCACGATCTTGTCGCTGCTTCTCCACCCTCTGACGTCGGATCTCCTCCAAAGACTTGATGGGCGAGCCGGCACTTTTTTCCGAACTCTTGCTCTTTCGACCACGGGACTCTGACCTCGACTTGCCGTCTTCCTTTTGTTTGTTCGGCACTACCACTACGGGTTCGCCCTTGTTATCGTCCATCACCACCGTCCGCTCGCTCGCGTCTTCGGTCTTCTTCGCATCGCCTTGAGTGGTATCGTCCTTTTTGCTGGCGGATGGTGAGCTTCCTGTGGTTATTGTTAGTCACAAAACAGAAAAGTGAAACACTAAGCAAATGCAACAGAAACTAAACAACAGTTTTAACCATCTATGGAGAAGGCATTTAGAACGTCTACCGGGCACCCAAACAACTCACTGAGAACGTCTACCGGGCACCCAAACAACTCACTTAGAACGCCTACCGGGCACCCAAACAACTCACTGAGAACGTCTACCGGGCATCCAAACAACTTATTTCCCTGGCGTCACAAGAATGACAACAAAATGATGGAACACGTTCGCAAGGGCAAAAAACGTAGAGGTACTATCCCCTTGCTTACCGAGGACATATCTCATGAAGCGCAATAGCCTTGTTATATACATGGCATGCTGGTTCGCGCAGCAAACAAGGTGTGATGTGAGGAACTGCACATATTCCCAATCCTTGCGCACACACAACACAAACCCCACTCGTACATTGCACAACGATGAGGGATGGAGGGATGTGAAAGATACAGACGAAACCACCATTTCTACTGTATCTGACGAGCGCATCAGTAAGGGACTAGTGAAACAGGATTGCTTCATTTTGCACATAAATTACAGGTAGATTTTTAAAAGCATTCAACGTCTTTGAAGAAAACACCAACACACGCTTTTCAAATTAGATACATCTCCGCAAAATCAGGATGAGTGGGAGAGTTGGATGGGAAAGTTTATTTTTTTTATGCAAAATGGAACGAGTTTTGACCATTTAAAACATTTGCCAACATGTTATCTAAATTCCAGGCTCAGTCGCAATGTTTTCAGATGTGATTTTACAGTGACAACACAGGCTCGAACAAGTGAAAGGAAGCCAGGTCTGCAATAATACCACATTGGTAAAATTTACCCCTGGCTTGTTGATGGATAACCGAACTACCAAATATTGTGAAGTCATAATATGAGCATGATCTCGAAGATGCATTCATTTAGTGCCTCACTGTGGTGATTAACTTAACTATTGGAACACTAGAAATCTCAGAAAACTCATCGTAATATCATTCCATTATCATCATCATTAATATTGTACTTGGTTAAGTAAAGACAACTGGTCAAACAAGGTTGGACTTAGGTACATAAGGTTTTGTCATAATATGAGTCTTAAAGAGGATCTAATTGACCATTATTTAATAGAGGCTCTACAGAGGACTCCCTTTAGTAATGAATCAAATTAGGGTGTAAAGGGACAGATCAACGAATATTAATAGAGAGAGTCTTATTTGAAGGTGATGGTGACTATTGAGGTAATGATAATACGTTGTTTAGAGAGAGGTAGAGAGAGAGGGAGGAGGGGGGGGGGGGGGGGGTGGGGGGGTTTTTAGGAATATTAAACATTTTAGCAAGAGAATGACCAACCACTTAGTCTGATTAGAAGCAACGAAAATAAGCACAAGCAGAAGAAGAAGAAGAGGAAGAAGGGAGAAGAAGAAGATGAAGAAGAAGGAAAAAAAATTAAAAGATAACCAAGTAAATTTTCATTTCTTGCTCAGGAGAAACTGTAACAATGGGCAAATAGGAAAAGAATATTTCTGAAAGGACTCATTACATCTAGACAAAATAGGAAGACATTAACAGAATATTCCAGGGGTTAAACACACAGGTATTAGCAAGCAAATAATCAATATTTTGGAGTGATACACCTTTCTCATATGACTGATAAGCACAATAAAACAAGGTCACCCAGTCATTAGTTCAATAAAAGATGTAAGAACACAATCATGAAATGTGTTTATAGAAGAAAAGTATGGAAATGGACCTTCTGTTTTGACCTGAAATTGTGCTATCCATCCTTATTTTGAATGGGCAGCCTTGCTATCAGCCTTGCAAGATGACTGACTGACCTTGCTTTCATGTACCAGTCAGCCATTATGAGAAGAGTGTATGAAGGTACTGTAGCAACAAACAACAGTATTGTCCCTTACCTGAAGACTGTTTACCAGAGGGTTTGGTGGTCTTTTCGTTTGTTTTTTTACCTTTGTCTGTTTGTTTCTTCTCATCAACCTTTCCCTTCTCTTGTGATTTGTCTGCTGCTAAGAAAAAAGAATTGCAAAATTAATGGTGATGTAAGGATGAGAATGGAGAAAATGATGATGGTGATGACAATGGTAAAAATAATGATGATAAATTTACATGAAAACATTGTGCGACAAACAATACAAGAGTAAGTATTAGGTGTTAATGTGCTTGGTAAATTATCAGAGATGTGGTTAGATGAACTGACAGAAGGTCATAGGTTCAACTCCTCCCTGAAACATTGAATTCTTTTTCCACAACGTTTGCTGAAAGTTTTTGATATCTGGGCATCAATATTACCTTTCTTATCAGCCTGTTTCTTGTCTGGCTGTTTCTTTGTTGCACTTGCTCCTCCCTGTGAAGGGATACGATCCCCCTTTGCCTATCAAAACAAGTAAATAAATATTGACATAAAATCACATGTAAGTAGAGTATGTTAAGTCTCCCTTGATTTCAGGTTTTTTCCTGATTTTACTCCCTCCACAAAGCCTAAGAAATAAATAAAATAAATAAAATGGGATTTAACAGTGTCATTTCTACAGAGTAGCTATTCATCCACTGTCATTCCAATTGGAATTTAGAAGTTAATTTTTGCGGAGGGAGGAAAGCCGGGGAACCCGGAAAACCCTCGAAGCACAGGAGAGAACCAACAAACAACTCTACTCACATACGACACCGAGCTCAGCAGGACTCGAACCTGGGTCGCATTGGTGGGAGGCGAGCGCTCTCACTGCTACACCACCCGTGCTTCCCAAGAAGCTAAATTCTAATTTGATCTGTGAGTTAGCCGTACCCTGACTTTGATAAGCTGAGAGGTTGTTTCAGAGTTTGATAAAGTTTGAAGGACTATTAAAGGTAATTTGGAATTGAATCTCTTATAAATAATTATTTGCAAAGGCTCATAAAATACATTGAAGAAAATTTCATTTTCCAAAAAATAGTGACCAAATGCCTAGCAAGGTGTAATTTCAAATAAACATTTCTTTACCCTGTCAACGGTTATCGTCCTTCCATGTAGTTCTGTCCTATGGAGATGAGATATACATTTGGCTGCCTCTTCACTGGTTGACATGGTAACAAGGCCAAAGCACTGTGCTCCTGGGGCTTTTGAATTTGTTACTATCTTTGCACCAACAACCTATATCGTTCAGAATCATTTTAGTGAGAAACATTTCAACTTAAATACCAATGAAGATTAAAATATCTCCAGGAAACACAGATTATATTGACATAAAATTCATGCATTTTTACGTGAAAAAAGGGCCAAAACATTAATTTTTTTCTGATGCACCCCATGGGCTACTTAAATATGGATTGGCACCCACAATACTATGCTTGGAACCAAAATGTGTCCCAGGACTCATTTCACTTGTGTTGACAAGGGCTTTTTAAATACTGATTGGTGGCCACAACACAATGTATTTCAGACCCCAAATGTAAGCAGTTACATGTCCCAGATCCAGGCTGAAAAATCCCCAGGACATTATACTTACTTTGCCGTGCTGACTGAATCTTGTCTTGAGGTCAGCGGCACGTGTAATAGATGACAGGTTGCTAACCCATAGACTTTTACCACTTTCTTTCTTCTCTTTGGCTGCAGCTGCACCCTTGGCTGTGGTGGATTTTTTAGCAGTGCTAGGTTTTTTATCTGGAGTTTTCTTTGCACTAGACTTGGATGTATCCTTGCTGTCAGTGCTGAAACATAGCATAAACATGATCAAGGTGGAGAAACCAATAGCGGCTTAGAAAAATTAAAACAAGGAAAATAAACCAATGTTTCGAAGGTAGAAAAACATTTGAAAAAATATTGTTTTTTGTTTGTGAAGGTTATATATTGTACTTCACAAGCCAGTGGCTCATGTTAAAGTGTTCAAAGGTGTGCCTAACAACAAGAGATAACTAGCTAAAAACTAGTGTGAGCTGTGTTGGTGTTTCTAATGAAACAGTAATGATAAAAAGGTAAATTATACACAGTGAAAAGATGAAAAAACTTACTGACATTTCGGACGCTAGTCCTTTGTCTGAGTAAAAGAGAAAGAGCACTCCGACGAAGGACTAGCGTCCAAAATGTCAGTAAGTTTTTTCATCTTTTCACGGTGTATAATTTACCTTTTAAGGTGTTGCCAATAAAACTCACATAATGCAATATAAATACCTTGATTTTCCTTCACTCTTAGAAGCTTTTTCAGATTTTTCTGATGTCTTTTCTTTTTTCTCCTCTTTCTTGTCAGTTTCCTTGGATTTATCCTCTTTACTCTTTTCCTCTTTTTCTTTCAGTTTTTCTAAAACATGAAATCAAAGACATGGTCAGTTGCTGATAACATCTTAAGAACCTGGCTTGGTTGCATACTGTTTGGCTTACAGTGCAGACACAGTGGGACCACTTGAACGAAATTTAAGATTTCAATAATATTAGCTAATCTGGAAAGAGCAAAATCTGTATCAAGTAGAACTAGCATGGACTGCATCAGTGTTTCTGAATAAAACGGTAGAAACTTGTAGATAAATTGGATCACCGTAAAAAGCTTTATGAAACTAAAAATCTGAAAATTGGTATCATATTAACCTAAACCAATCACAATCTCACATTCCCCAGGTAGTCAATAATATCTATTATTTGCTCAGATATCTAGGCTTCAATGCCTCCTCCTGATTGGTTCATGACTGATTCCCTTGTTTTCACTTTATGTTGTGATTGGGTAACTTTCATCAAGTGGTTAGTGTATCCACACAGTAAGTTGAAACGCTTTGTTTTCCCTTTATATCATCATTGGTTAATTTCGTAGAGTGGTAGTGGTAGAGTGTCTGCGCATTACGGTGAACCATCAGCAAGGACGCACATATGTTCACATACCTTGTTTTTGCTCTTCTTTTTTTTCTTTGGCAGCTTCCTCCTCTGCCTTCTCTGCAGCCTTCAATTCCTCATCAAGATCATCTTGGATGCCGTCTGTATGGACAATCAATGACACTGACCAACCATTTTCATTTTTGGACGAGTCTGCCTCAGAAACATCCATGGTTGATGTGTCTCCCTTGATGGAGTTGGCACTATTGTTGCCCAGGCTGATGGCATCTTTGTAGCTGGGTACCTCCTCAGAACCAACGGCAGCTGCATCTGTTAATATGATTATCGTCCATCATTAATCATAATGAACTGAAGCAATGTAACATTACTAATTTTCAATAACCAGGGATCCTTGTTGTAATGATCATAGTTTCACTTGGTGTCAATAAGTATTTCCATTGATTTACACAATGAAGAGAGGTATTACTTGGGAGGTATCAATGGAATCCCATGGAAACCTTTCAACATTCTACAATTCTGTACATGTTATTGAACATGAGTGAACCAGAGGTGACAACAAAGGCTAAATGTGGGAGGACAAAACATTTAAAAAAGGAGGGAAAATACAATAGGCTTTTCCTTTTCCCTTTTTAGCACTATAAACATAGACCTTGTGGGTGGTCTTGATATGACTTTAATCCTTTGTCCTGATAGATAAGTCCCCTACCTTTGTTTTTGTCATCTCCAACTTCATTGCCAGTCTAGAATAAAAAGCAGTGTATATCATCAGTACACTATTCATCAAAGAAACCCAGAACAGCTCCTAAATAAGTGTCCACTTTATAAACTTGAAAGTCTCAGTCTTTCATCAGACAATAAATTGTCCATTAATCGATTTGTAAATGCTTCTTCTGGCTAGAGAATGACTCATTATTTTGATACGATGAAGAAAGAATGGGTTCTTCAATCTGATGACACAGGCCTCTGGGTGGGTAAAAATACATGTCTGGTCTAACAAATGATTGTATATAGACAACTATTATTTTCACACTTACTAGTAGTAGGTACTGATAACTAGTTTATGCTTACCTCCATGTTTAAATCACTATCACCTAAACTGAGTCCAAGTTCATCTTTCCTTTCTTCTCCTTCCTCAGTCTTGGGATTCAAAGACTCATCCTTGAATAACTCGTCAACATCAGTAGAATCATTGACTTCCATTCCTTCAGGATGGTCACCCTGGTCATCTTGACATTCATCTATTATTTTCATTATAACTCCTTCACCATCAAAACTTTCTTGGAGCAAATCATCTTCACCATTATCTTTCTGATCTACTTTTTTTACCTGTGATTAATTTTAAAATATTTTAAGGTCAAAAGAAAAGAGTGGGAGAGTTTACTATAGCCTTTTACAAGATAAATAATAATCTAAAGACCATACTTTTTTATTACTTAATATTTTAGTGTAAATAAAATCTAATACCACATTTCTTCTAAAACTCATTTATGACGATACAGGGTTGCTATCAAAACAAAATATCAAGGGACTGTCAAGAATAGTTTTGAGTATAGACTGATCCAAGGTTAATGGATGCAAGCTTGCCGGGGGTGCAAAAGCATTGGGGCGAGCGCAGGGACACATTATGCCAAAACATGCTCCCTGTTGCGTTGGTTATTGTGATAATGACAAGTGGCTTCCCAATCTTTGGACTGTAAGATCGCATGTTAAAGACCTGAAGTTCCATAAGTGGCCGAGAACACCCGGCAAGATGGCGTCCATTAACCTTGGATCTGTCTATTAGGGACTATGGGGGAACTACCCTTCCTGTTCCCTCCCCCCTCATAATTTTGAAATCAAGGCTCTCAGAAATAAAATGTGGTTTCCAGTGTTTGGAGCCACAATTGCAACATATTTACTGTGTTAAAGCCAAGTCAAACTAACTTACTAACTAGGACACTAACAATTTTTGAACATGAAAGACATTCATAATGTAGAAAAAATAAAAAATAAACAACTTACTGGTGTTTCTTTTTCAGATGTTGCCTTCTTTTCTAAAAGATACATAACGAATCAAATAAGAAATGGAATAAAATGGGTTTTCCAAAAAGTGTTATATAATGCATATCCTGGAGTAGTCAATCGATAAAAATCGATATCGATTTTGCCAATCGATAAATCGATACCGCTGATTTGATTGATATGGATTGTATCTATCAATCGTTAAAAATCGAACTCACACTAAATTTTTGAATCAATTTTTATCGATTGATTGATTATATACATATCGATTTTTTTCGATTTATGTTCTTGAACAATTTCTATCGATGATCGTACGAGGGCCGTGTGGCTACGGATTTACTCCACCGGAAATTACTCTTTCGTAACCATAGCTTGGCACAAACTAGTGATCAGTGAACAGACAGCAAAAGTACTTGGATAATTAGCTGCCTGATCTACATATTATTACTCGTGAATTAATAGTTATAAAATCTATTGCACTATCATCGATATTTTAGAATACTTTCCATGAAATAAAGCTGATTATATGATTGTACTCATTATTGGATCGAATTAAAGCTGTCAAATCTTGATGGATAAAAATCGATTAAATCGATAAAAATCGAACTCACACCAATTTGTTTTATCGATTTTAAACGATTTCCCATAAAAATCGATACAAATCAGCTGATTTCTATCGATTTTTATCGATTGACTACTCCGGGTGCATATGTATGCAGACAATCCTAAATGTCAATATTTAATGAACTTCTTAGAATATCATTTCCTGGTGCTGTAAGATAAATTTTGACTATATTTTGCACTATCAAAATATAATAATAAACATCTAATAATGAAAAAATCTTTTTAGTACAACGATTTTAGACTTATAAATATAAATTGTGAGTATAAAGAATAATGCCCTATTGTCGCGTCCATCCCTACGGGATATCACCGATGGCGGCCAATTTTAACCATTTATATTTGAGCCAAAAGGGCGAAGAGATATTTAGGAAACTACATAGTGCTTACTCTGTGTTTTTTTCGAGGGTTTTACAGACGAACGCTTCGGTGGTGTAGGGACGACAGCGGTGTCTGGCTCCCCTGGTTCGCTTTTGGTTTCGCTTTTAGTAATCACTTCTGTGAAAGTTTCAGCCGATTCTTCCTGGTTGACATCTTCAGGCTCTTCATTAACTTCATCATTAGCCTCATCTTTTACTTCTATCGAGTCTTTTTCTTCGGCTGCTTGAGCTTCTAAAGCCTGTTGGTACAAGAACAACAACATGTTAGCGACACCATTGTTTTCTTCCGCTCTTCAAGTTTTTCAACATCGATTTGGAAACAAAATAAAGCGAAACAAACCTTTTGGAGACGCTCCACTAAAACAGCCTTTACTCCGCTTTTCTCTAAACCTCGATTTTCAAGCTCTTGTCTTAAATCAACGACTCTAAGCTCAGTTAACTTCTTCCCTCTTAAGGTTTGTACGTCCGCCATGTTTCTTCTCTTCGCAGCACATGTGCATGAAGCGTTCCCGGATGAAGATCAAACCCATGAAGCTACATGGGATAGGTTAGCAAAAAATTAGCATATTTTGATTCCCGCGAGATTCCCGCAACTTCGTGGTTCAATATACGATATACTGATCGACACTCTTGTGTTTTCATGTTTATTTCCTCGTCATATTTCCTATTGATAGATACTTCGGGCATCTACATGGCGTAAAAGGAATGGAATATCTTTCTAGTGAATCTTTTGGGCAATGATATGTTCACTCATATGGCAAAGCGACTTCCGGGTCCATTAACGGTAAGCAGAAGCTATTAAAGATTTTTCTTGTTTTCCTTCACGACATGATATTTTGTACCAAGTTATAATCGTTTCAGGTGAGGTGGAGGTTAACTCATTGAGAAATTTTTTTTCGCTTTATTTCAACTGTGTTTGTGAAGCCAAACGTTTGCAATATTTTTGGAGAACGACAAATCACTTTAAAAAATAACTTCTTCCTTCATATTTTTATGAAATTTTTTGAGCTTCTCGCGAGCTTCATGAAATTTCAATTTGAAAAGTATATTTTCTCGAATTCATTGTGTCAAGATGTCTTGTGTCAAATCATTTCCGGGTTTTCCTTAGTGAATGGGTTCCCTGTGGTAAAGTCGTTAAGCAAAAGCGGGAAGGCACGTCAAGATCAAGTATTCACTGTTGTTACTCATTCATTCATCTTCGTTCATGGCGTCCACCAAATGTTATGGAGGGGCCAGAACATCCCGTGTTCTTGTTTTATACACTGGAGGCACAATAGGGATGGAGAAGACAGAAGCAGGTAAGTTTTTTTTTTAATTCAGACGTTTTTATTCCAGCAACTTCCAGTTACGCATTAGTGTTTTCAACCATATCAAATTGAAATGAAGCTCAATCCAACAAATATTTTTGAAAATTTCGTATAGTTTAAGACCTGTTTCCATATCTCTAGGGTATCAGCCAAAGGTTGGGTTCTTGCAGAAGCAAATCAAGCGCCTGCCAATGCTTTATGATGAAGAATACTCCAAAAAGAACTCATCCATTGAGACAACTATTGACCCTCAAGAAGAAGATCAGGGCAGCTCAAACAGCAGCGCTCTCGAGGAACTAGCAATGCCGTAAGAATATAACCTAATTATCGTCTTGTCAAACAATAGACGTCAAACAATACACATAAACATTTCAATGTTTTCGGCACTTTTCAAGTAAATGGATACAAGAAAATATTAGAACAATTTCACATTGCAAGAGTCAATATATTTATTTACCCCAAGCTAAACTGTCTATCAATAATTCAGAGCGTTCAGTTTTGTTATGATGGAGAAATAATATTGCTGAAGGCTTTTAAAATACATTTTTTGATTCTCAAACCACGACGTGTTCAAACAGCTGAGTCTTAATATAAGATCATAAGTTGATTTCTTTGCATTTTATTGTATCATTCTCTTCTTATCTTTCATCACACTGCCACATGTACATCCATTATTTCCCAGAAAACTGCATATTTTTATGGCTGACTGACTCTTGGATTCAGTAGTTGTCCCTAGTTTCAGGCTCAAGAAAAATTTGAAGATAATTCTTACTATACTGTTAAACAAATGTCTGTTACAGATTTATTAGTTGCAAGAGAAAGAGTAGCATATCTCAAGAGTAGCTATCATTAAGATACCATGCCCATTTAATATTTTTTTGTGCTTTGGCTTCTGTCCATCAAGCTTATGATGGTCTCTAAATAGCACTGTCATTTGCATCAAGCCATGAATGCCAAACATCAAAACAATAATTATTGTTCTGATTAACTGCGTTTTACATTGACGTTTTAGCCAACAAACATATGAGTTTCAGAAGCCAGTAAGAACATGTTTTGATGTCTGGTATTTATGGCTAGATGCAAATGATAGTAAGTTGATTGATTGAAGCAAAAAAACACTGGAGTCATGTATATGTATAAGTTTAATGAGTAAGAAGGTAGTTTGAAGAGATTAAATAGACCTCCTCGGCTCTGACGTAATGTTGTCCCATTTCAGACCATGTGTCATTCCCTAGAGTATCAATATTTTGTTTAAGGTTTGTGCTCGGTTGCACATGAGAAGACACATGAATATGAATACAACTCAAGCAAAGAATATTATTCTCAAGGGAATGATACACATGGTCTGAAATGGGACAACATTACGCCGAGCTGAGGAGGTCTATTGTTGGTGCTAAATTATTGAAATTTTCTTTAGGATATCTCAACATGGAGTAAGGATCATATACTTCATAAAGGAATATGTACCTATTAAGGACTCTTCTAATTTGACGATTGAGGACTGGGTAACAATATCTCTGGATATTAAACAGCATTATGCAGATTACGAAGGCATTGTTGTCATTCATGGGACAGACACTATGGCATATACAGCATCAGCGCTGTCATTCATGCTGGAAAACTTGGGCAAAACTGTCATATTAACAGGATCACAGGTGAGAAAGCCTGACCGATTTTATTGAAACCTGTTCAAAACAAGCTCTCTGGGCTGAACTAAGTTAGGGCATGTATATGATTAGTCTCCTGTGCAGCCACTATTAGTGTCGTCACACTGCTAGAGTGCAAACAATATATCTGTGAAACACTAATTAATAAATTTTTCAAAATAGTGCTAGTTAAACAAAAGAAAACAATAGTATTAGTATGAAATAGTGTGAGTAAGTATTACTAATATTTCACGAACATATTGTTTGCACTCACTATTATTTTGCTAACTTAAGATCAAACCCTGAAACAACCTTTAGGCTAATCAAATCAAGGCATGGTTTACTCACAGTTTATGTGCTATTTTCTCTACAGGTTCCTATTTATGAACAGAGAAATGATGGACGTGATAATCTTCTTGGTGCACTCATGTTCGCAGGTCACTATGTTATACCAGAGGTAGAATATTAGTATTTACTTATATTGTGTGGTTCTAGAAAATATCCATACCCCCACCATGGAGGAAATTTGTAAAGAACCCCCCTACCCCCAGGAACTTCCAATTTTCTTCCATACAAACTCTGTAATTTTGTTCTTTCTCTGGCCCCCCTCCCCTCCAGAATTTCCAGTTTCCACCATGGGTGGATATGGACATTTCAATTTTGGACAAGCCATATTATATCTGTTCCTTTTTGCGGCCCATTTCTTCAATCCATTCTAGGACACAGGACCCCCTATTTCCTTCCCTTCCTTAAAAATTCTGTTATCAGCAAAAATGAATAAAATTATTCTTTCCAGGTTTGTGTTTTTTTCAATGGCAAATTATACAGAGGAAACAGAACAACCAAAGTGAATGCTGACAGCTTCAGTGCATTCAACTCTCCAAATCTCCCGCCATTGGCAACTATGACAGTCAAAATTGAAGGTATTCTTTCAACTCACATGTACTTCATCAATGCCCACCATCCACTTCCCTTTTAGGTTGTGGATAAATGGTGGCTCGACCAACTATATGGTGACCGGCCGGCCAGCCAGCCGACCGACTGACTGACTGACTGACTGACCAAATTTTTCATGCACGCACGCACGCACACAAATGTTAAACTTGGGTGACCACAACAACGACAGTGATTTGAACCTTTCTCGCCAACACCTGTTGCTTTTGCACCCAAGTTTTAGCAAGAAGTTTCACCCTGTAACAGAAACTAATGAAGATGATGAATGTGTAACAAAAGTTACACACTAGTGCAAATAGATTTCTCCTAACATTCTTTACCTTTCTGGAGTCAAAAATCTATCAGTTTCTGATGATTATACTAGAGGCTTTGCACCATCACGTGATGGCAGCCATGACACAGGAAGCAGGAACAATTGAATCTGGTCTAATATGATTTATATGAGAAAGAATTCAGTTTCCCAGGGGTCGAGAGTCTATTGTTGTGCCTCCTGTCATGGATACCATCAAAGTCTCTTTTGGCTGCTTTTTAACAATAAAAGGCTTTATGTTTTATTATCTTATTTCTCCTCAGTTCAATGGGATGCCATCTTCAGATGCAATAATAACACTAGATTCTGTGTTCACACCCAGATGAATCCTAATGTTGGGCTATTGAGGCTGTTTCCTGGCATCACGGCATATACTGTAAGTATAAACATGCATCAGTGCTAGCGCTAACAAGTTAAGGTTGCTATAGATTGCTGGGTTTCAATCAACTGAAAAAAGTCTTTAAATCTCATTACTCCATATGGCAGTCAAACATTAACCACCATGTGCTGTCAGTCAGAAAGAATCCTAAGAATCCTATTGAAAACTTGTGATTCAACCTATGAACATTTTGCAGACTGCAGAAATGTGCATACTGTAAGCTTGGAGGGCAGTGTTGTCACTTTGCTAAAGCCTGGTAATAAGATCCATTCAGCTGATCAATACTGATGATATGTTACTGATGTCATTGGTTTGATATATTTCCATGGTGTGTATTCTTTAGGTAAAAGCATTTCTTCAAGAACCAATGCAAGGAGTTGTTTTACAAACCTATGGTGCAGGGAATGCCCCTAATAATCGTGACGACCTCATTACCGAGATCAAGAAAGCCTCTGAAAGAGGTGTCATTATTGTTAACTGTACCCAATGTATCCATGGATCTGTTGCAGATGCTTATGCAACTGGAAGGGTAGGTTAATACCATTACACTGTGGGATAGCTGTGGTGACATATCTTCTTCAGCTTTATGGGTTTCCTGTGTCAAGTATCATACTGCCATTTTTGTTGCACAGTCCTATGTTGTGAATACATTGGTTTGAATGGATAACAGGTCAGATTCCTGTGAAGTGCTTTAAAAATTTGACACTAGAAGTTGAATATGTGTTTTTATTATTAATGAAGGATAACAACAACCATTCTATTCGTAGACATTATTGGAAGCTGGTGTTATTCCTGGATCTGACATGACGCCAGAGGCTGCTTTGACTAAGCTTTCTTATGTTCTCGGCAAAGAGCACATGACGAACAAAGAAAGAAGAGAGGTACATTTCAACACCTTCAAATTTAAATGATACATACCCTCTTACAACACCAGCTAAACAAACTCAGCTTTTACTTATTGCTGAGCTAAGGATGATTTTCTGAAATCTTTTGTACATCATTTTCAGCTCGTGAAACATAACTTACGTGGTGAGCTGACTGTAGCTCAGTCACAGGAACATTTTTCACTGAAGGACAGTGAGTTTATTGAAGCTGTTGCTGTTTCATTGCATGTTGGATCTAGTGAGGTAAGCTGGTCTTTGAACTCCTTGCTCAAGAACTGTTAGCTTGAAAACAGCTCACCCCTCCCCTTGCCTCTCTCCCATTGGCATCCTGACTACCAACAACTAGGCAATAGCAACTACTTGTAAACCACAAACACAAGCTTGATCTTCATCTTTATATGACTCAATTTGTAGGAAATGAAGTACATCAGGAAAGCTCTTCTACCAGTCTTAATGTGTTCCGCAGCCAGCTCTGGTAATGTTCCTACCCTTAAAAAACTACTGGAACAGGTTTGTATGTTACAATCATGATTGAATTCAGATTTGTATACCTTAATGTTAAAATATCCTACACATACCCCAACTTAGATCCACCTACAATTGGTTCAAGGTTCAATAAGATTAATCTTCAGTTTGTTATTTTCCAGGGTGCCGATCCAAATGGAACAGTAAACTATGATGGCAGACGGCCTCTCCATATTGCATGTCTTAATGGCAACCTTGAGGTAGTAAATTTTCTGCTGTCCCAAGGTGCATTTGTTCATGTGCAGGACATGTTCAATAATAGCCCTCTTGACGACACTATTAAATTCAGGCATAAAGAAGTGGTGAAAAGACTCATTGAAGCTGGAGCTATTCTTAACAAACAACAATCACAAGTTGCTGCTGAAGTTTGCTGTCTTGCTGCTAAGAACAGAGTGGATGATTTGTATCTGTGGTTACTGGCAGGGGCTGATTTAAATGTTAGTGACTATGATGGCAGAACACCATTGCATGTGGTAAGTACGCTGATAGTTACTGTTATGTTACTTTCTTGGACAAAAACCTAAAACCATAGGCCCTGTCTCCAAACCCTTCCTAACCTACAGTAAAAATGGGGGATATAAAAGAACCTGTTGAATTATTTGTATGAGAGTAGGGGATTGTCTCCTGGTTCAACAGCCTATCCCAATTTGGAGGCATAATACTAATCTACTAAAAATTCACACTTGTAATTGTAAGCTGCAAGGCTGCTAATAGCGCCTTAATATGCAGCCCGTAAAGTCCTACACTGGTCATAAATGTAAAGCATTTTGAGATATTGCGTTATATATTAAGAAAGTCCCATTATTATGGGTTGTCCTTGTTGGTTAAACTTGGGGTGTGGCTGGGGGCTGGTATATCAGCTTAACTCTAAGACGCATTGAACAACATTTTTTGAATATAGGCTGTGTGTCGCAACAACATCGAGACAATCAAGTTTTTGCTGAAGAATGGAGTAGACCGTACCCTCAAAGACATCTTTGGGCACACACCATTGGATAATGCAACTACTTATGGACTGGACAAGGTTGCGCAGCTATTGGATGAATGCACTGGCATTCGGATATAGAGACCTGTTGCTTCAAGTTAATAAGAAAAGAATTGGATGATGATATGCTAATTTGTATATAGGTGTATATTGATGTGGGGGAGAGTGGGTATACTAGGCTGCCTTGTTGGATGACACGCATAATGTTATCAGAATGAACCAATGACAATTGTTTTTATGACGGGATATTGTTAAAATTACTGAGTTTGCATGGAATAAAATTGGGGTTTGGGGGGGGGGGGGGGGGGGGGATTGAGAAATTCTGGAGCTACACAATAACTACACACAGTTAGCCTAGTCCTCCATATCTATCCACCACTTTTCATACATCAATGAACTGGTCACACATGAAGCATTACATCAAGGCTTTGAAAGATCATTCTAATTTGAACTTTGTGACCTTGATTTTATGCTTCGTGTTTGACCATTGAACAATGTATGAAAAGTGGCAGATAAAAGGAGAGAATTGAATTCTTTCATCTCTTTATATTATCATTATCACTAGTATTATTTTTTCTATTATTTATAATTTCTCTAAGTCTCTTCAGAGTTTGTAATTTTATAGCAAAAGTTTTGTTCAATGGTGTATACCTGCACTTTTGTTTATTTATTTAATTTTTTGGGACAATGGACTAAAGGATTTGTAAGATATTTACTTTATAACAGTCTTTATGACAAAAAACCTGGTATTTTATCAATAAATATTAAGAAATAATTTCTCTGTGTATTTATGAAACAGTTGGGGATGCACAAAGTACCTACACCCTCCCCATTGAAGTTAATAGTCAAAAGGTGAAATATTTCTCCATTTGAATGTTGCGTCTTTAAGTTATACTCGCAATATGTTATGTACTGTGGTGTCATAACAGGCTTTTGAGTGTAATTCGTTTTAATTTTTAATACTAAACACTAGCCATTATAAGACATCAGATTTAAATTCAAATCGTTGAACTTCTTCAGCTTCTTTTACAAGCTAGTTATTTGAGGCTGCTACAGAATTCAAGTAAGAGGGCTTTGACGGGTCTGGATACTCCTGCATGTACTGCCCCACCCACCCACCACCAGACAATCTCAAAATGACATAGAAATGACGTCACTGCAAAACTAAAGAAGCCTGCAAAAATTAAACAGAAAAATCTAAAACATCACACTCATCCATTTTGTATTAAAAAAGAAACATTGTGTCGATGTTATGAAGCACGTATTAGTAATGTTATTTTTTTCATTTAGTGGCTTTGAAATCCATGATAAGTAACACATCAGTTTTGCAAATTTTCTCGATTGTGATTGGCTAACATTTTCTCTCAGATAAACTGGCAGTAATGGGGCATTAACAGAAGTCCATGTATGTGGCAGAGTTTACCTTTATGTATAAATAACACATCAGTAGGCTATAAAACCTCGATCACCTGACTCCCATTGAGGTGTGCCCCAGAAGCTTGGGTTACCTGTGGTTACCCAGAATGCACCACCCTAAATATTCTGGTAACTGGTAGGGATGGTTCGTCTGATCAAAATATGAAACGTTTTTGTTCGTAAATAATTCATCTTTACATCATTTACTACTGATGAATGGATTAGAGGACTCTAGCATTGGTTCTGCGCTAAAATGATGCGAATCGAGTAAAAAATTGCAGCTCTGAAATCGACGTGAAGTTACGATAGATTTTCGAGCCAAAAAATCGAAGTTTACCGTGGAATTTGGAAGAGAATAATTAATATATTCAATGCAAGATATTTTAATTTAAATTTAAAGACAATGAGTGGAAGTCAGGACAATTATCCTGCGATACAAAAACAGATGGAAAAAATCGGGATCGGAGAAAACACTTCAAATCCACCCGCAAGTGAGTTTAAGACTGATGTCACAAAAGTACCTCACGCTACCCCTACTGGGGACACACCAGACTCCAAAACAACTTCTGCTGGTGGTCGTGTCAAAGATCCTTTGAAAAGACAGTTTTCTAGGAAACTTCTACGACATGTGTCTTTTAGTGGGGAGCTACCTAAGGACGCGAAGCCTCAGTTGAAGTCTAGTGGGAGAATGGGATCAATTTCTGGGGACCTCGATGAGGGCACTTCTAGAACCCTTGTCAGAAGGGTGAACGTTCTTCTGTTATATACTGGAGGTGCTCTGGGATGGAAGTTAATTCCAGGAGGTAGGAAAAGGAAGTGAATCAGTCTATATTATCTGTTACAGATTTGACAAGCATACTGTAGTACTACTGATAGCTTGTAGTCATATTTATACTTTCAAACTTACAGAGTATATTCTGATCACAACTCCATATATTTCTAACAAAGTGGCATAAAAACCACTTGGTCCCAATGTGAAGGACATACAAGCTGCTACGAAATTGAAAATACAATTCAAACACGTGATATTATTTGTATCATGTAACTTGAGTTTTAACAATTGCCAGAAAAGGTGTTAAGACTTTTTTATGAGTAAATTATATTGTATTCTTCAACCAATTTATTATTCATTGTCTACGTCTCTCAGCTTTAAGTGCTTCTTTGTGTTTCTCTTCTTGTAATTTTAGTCAATCTGTTATTTTTAAAGAATGATTTTAACAAATTGTAAAATAATAGATATTAGAGTTTTGCTTTTCTAACTCCAGGTGTTTATAAAAAGATACAAAGAGATAATTCTTCCTGTCGTAAGAACAATTTCTTAATTTATGCAAAGATCATTGTCATATTATTTCCATTTTTGAATATCATTTGCAAAAGTGAGAGAAATAAAGAAGATAAATTGCAATTAAAAATTTTTAAGAAAATAATGAGTAATCATTTGTTAAATTCGACCAACATGGAAAAAGAAATTTAGTAGTTCAATTTTGATACTGATATGAATTTAATCAACTGATTCTAACAGGTTTCCGAGTGGAGAAGAATTTAGTGTTAAATGAGTTGAGGAAGCTGCCGATGATGCATGATGCTGATTATGTCAACAAGATTGAAGAAAACCTGATGGATGATTTACCAGAGGAAGAGATTAGAGAGGACCAGATAATAATGCCGTGAGTCATGATGATGATGGTGATGATGATGATGATGATGGATGATGATGATGGTGATGATGGTGATGATGATGGTGATATACTGTATGATATATGACAATGATGATGATGACTGTTATGATGGTAATGATGGTGATGATAACATGATGGTGATGATGATGTATGATACATGATGATGATGATGATGCAGGGATGGCACAGACAGGAGCCCTACCACTTTTTAGTATTTTTATTTTGTCTAATTTTTGGGTGTGTGGTATAGGGAAGGGGAGGACTGCAGTCCCCCACTTTAAAACTGTCCTGCAATCCCTGTGATGATAGCATGAATGTGATGATGATATATATGATACATTATGATGGATGTGAATGATGATGCGATGGTGGTTGTGGTGATACTGATGATGATAATAGAATGATGGTGATGTTAATGGTAATGATGAAGTTGACTGATGGTGCTTAATGATGATAATAATGTTGACGATGGGTGTTATTGATGATTAAATCATTGATAATTAATAGTAATGTTGCTATTTTCTAGTTAGCATGTTACTTATGCAATTAATTGCCTGAAAAATTATTTCATTTATTTTACAGTGTCTCAAAATATAGTGTTCGTACATTTATCGACGTCAAAGAAATGACAGACGACATGGTTGGACATTCCCAAGACATGGACATGAATGGATGGATTCATATTGCCTTAAAAATCAAGGAAAACTATGACAAATACCATGGGTTTGTGATTCTCCACGGCACAGACACTCTCTGCTACACGGCTTCTGCTTTATCCTTCATGTTTGAGAACCTTGGAAAATCTGTCGTCGTCACTGGATCTTTGGTATGGAATGGGAGTGGTCATTATTTATAGGGGGTTCAGTTGGTACAAAAAGGGGGGGCAGGTAAACAACATTAATTATACAGGAAAAAAAGGGGGCCTGTATAAAGCTGGGGGAGGGAGGGAGGGAGGGGGGGTCTGAAGGGGGTCTGAGATTATTGTGGGGGGGTTCGGGTAAAAACGAAACATGGCATTCCTAATAGCCCCCTCTTAATAATGCAGGTCCAAAATTCTTTTTGGTATTCAACATCAAGTGTATGTTTACTGTACAGGCATTTGTAGATAGAGATTTTTTCCTTTTTATTACCTTTCATTCTTGTCTTTGTTGCATCTTTTTTTCTTTTGTTCAAAACCTAATATGAAAAAATTCAATTTATTTTAGCTGTGGCCTGACTTTGCTCAGCCCGGGATTTAAAGAATTTTCCATTCATTTCTCTAGTTATTGCATGATTTCTGTTCACTGTTTTTATTCATTTATTCTTAGAGCCCAATTAATGAGCATCTTAATGACGGCAGAGATAATATCCTTGGTGCAGTAATGCTTGCTGGGCATCATGTTATACCAGAAGTAAGTGATGTTGAACCAAACTGTGCCATACATGGTTGGGACTAAGGAAAGTCTATGGAAGCAAGGTCATAAAGGCCTCATTTCTCTACACAATGCATCATGGCGTCCAGTGCTAGTCTTTTATCAAGTATCCCGTAAAAAAGCAATAGACCTTGACAAAGATAACCGCACACATGTAGACTTATGTTGTTAACTAATGAGGAAATTATGACCTTTCTTGCATGTGCTTGTGTTCAGTCCCAACTGTTTTTGGTGACCATTATGGGAAAGTGCATCTCTACAGTAGGATGTAGCAAATCACAAGAGATATTATTGCAGTTATTAATATTTCTACCTTCACAATTGCAGGTGTCTGTTTACTTTCATGGCAAGCTTTACCGCGGCAACAGATGTCTAAAAGTGGATGCCAGAAGTTTTGGAGCTTTTGACTCTCCAAATTTCCCACCAATAGCAGCAGTTCAATCAGGATTAAAAGGTTAGTAGACAAACATTTTACTGGGGGAGGGGTGGGAGATCACTGACTACCCCCCCCCCCCCCCCCCCCCCCAGGAGCATTTTGAAGTTTTTTTGATCTTTGATTTTATATTAAGGGCCTGCTTTTTTTTTTTGAGATTTGAATATTATTTCATTTCAGTTGAGTGGGACGAGGTGTTCAGGTGTAACCTAAGCAGTCGTTTCACTGTTAGGACAAATCTTGTACAACATGTCGGAGTATTAAGACTTTTTCCTGGAATAACCAATGCTACTGTGAGTATTGTTTGTGAGATTTGTTTGCTAGGTCGTGAGACGTGGTTGCATGGAGGAGCTTGTCATGTTACCTAAAGATGGTAATTTACGAGAGATGGCTCAACAGCATGTCCATTTTATTGCTCAACAGGTGCGGACCTTTCTTCAGCCTCCTATACAAGGTGTTGTCCTAGAGACCTACGGCAGTGGTAATGGACCAGATTCGAGGCAGGACCTGATGGATGAATTAAGAACTGCATCATCACGTGGTGTAATCTTTATTAACTGTACTCAATGTCTGTATGGTAGTGTGGTTGATTCGTATACTACCGGGAAGGTGAGTAATGACACTCCACATCCCCTCCCCTCTCAGTCCCAATACCCACCAAACCTTAAACACGGGGAACAAAAAATGCCATAAATGAAGAATATATTAAAATAAATTACCCACATGAAGAAAACCCAACTCACCTATATATAGTGCCGATCAAAGACAAAGGTGCAGCCCATGGCACCATAGAATAATGCCGATACTGTAGGCCGAATGTAACATGCCTATGCCATGGTTTCTTAGTTGCCATCTAGGTTAGACCTTTTACCTTGGGCCTAATATTTCTCATTTCAGCCCACGTGTCATTCTCTTGAGAATAAAATTCTTTGTTAGAGTTGTATCCCTATTCATGTGCCTTCTTGTGTGCAACCAAGCGCAAATGTTAAACAAAGAAATAATACTCTAGGGAATGAGGCATTGGTCTGTAATGGAAAAACATTACGCCCAAGGAAAAGTGACCTATTTTGACAAACAACTACGAAGTAAAGTGGTTAACAATGTGGCTGCATGTATTTGGTTATTTTTTTTCTTGTGAATACAGTCTGATGGTGAATTGTTTTTGTATCCTCAAGGCTCTTCTTGATACAGGGGTGATTCCTGGTGCTGACATGACAGTCGAGGCAGCTCTTACGAAACTCTCCTATGTACTTGGACTCGACATCTCAATAGAGGAGAAAAAACAGGTATTTTAAAATGTCTATTTCAATCCCTGCTTGGGCCCGGCACCAGCACAGTTTCTCACTGTCATATGAATTATGCTCTGATATTACAGACCCGGGAGGGGGGGGGGGGGGTACTCCCATAATTATATGGACTATACGGGGATGATCCGCTGAACAGGGTATGGTTTTTGGAGCTTCTTCTCATAAACAGGGTATGCAATTTCACTCGAGTTCAAAGTTCTTCCCCGAGTTTTCTGTCATATTCAGGGTTTCTACTTTCGTATTGACTGAAACTGGTCATTAGGGTTGTAAAAAAACGATACGCAAGATGACATACTTGAAACGGGAACTCAGTGCAATTAATTATATCTTTTGTCATGAACAGGGTCTACAAATTAGGGTTTTTTTGCCATAAACAGGGTACCCCTTTCAGAATCCCAGTGGAACACCCCTACCCAAATTCTGGCAGAGTACCCCCCCTGGGATTGCAAATGAGTATGAATGTCATCAACAGTTTTGGTCACTAATTCTTTATCGGGAATGAAAGTAGTAATAGAAAATAAGAGAATGAATTTTATGATCTTATGAATTATTTTCCTACTGGTAGTTAATGAGAACGAACCTTCGAGGTGAACTGACTGAGTACAGAAACCAAGATAAAGAACAGTTTTCCTTAAGAGATAATGAACTCATTGGACTTGTGGCGTCTAATCTAAAAGTCGCATCTTGTGAGGTAAGAATTCTGCACAACTGACCAACGGTGGTCAGTTTTGCCATGTTCTCAAACCATTGAGTCCCTCCTGAGACCTCAGATTATTGACCCACACTAATAGTGGCTGCAAAGAATAGCCAACTTTCAATATTCTGGTTGAGTGATCAAGTAACAAAACAATCCGGAGTCAAGGCTCTGAGGAAACAATAAGAGACCCCTTGCAGCTCTTTGGAATGCAACTCGATCTGGGGGACAAAACAATAGGTTCCACTTGAATCTCAGGAGATTGGAATTCTTTTGTTTTGTCCCCCAGATGAGCTGCTTTGACCTCACATGCAAGGGCTCTATAATCATAATATTATTATTAGTTTGTTTCCCTGGAGCCTTGACTCGGATTGTTTTGTGCTTGATCACTCAACCAGAATATCAAAAGTTGGCTATTCAAATAATATTTGCACTGTTTGAATATCCAGAGAAGACTCAGGGATATTGAAAAAGAGGTAGTGAAGATGTCAGAAAACCCTTCACTTTAATATAAGAAGTTTTAGCTGTCATCTGAAATTTCTTGCTTTTCTTTTTTAAATAACATTGTATTTTTTATTTCTGTAGGAGGTCAGGTATATCAAGCAAGCGTTATTTCCAGTGCTGATGTGTTCTGCTGCAGCGTCTGGTGATGTCAGTGCTATCGAAGATCTTTGTAAGCAGGTGAGACAATCAACCTTGATTCCCTTAACCCCAAGTCTCACACACCACAACAGCCACCCCCCCCCTCATCAATAGCCCTTTTAGCTAAATGGTTTCTAATTTCAGACAAACTCTTTGTGTTGTCCATATTTATGTGTCTTCTCATGCACAACCGTTAAAAAAAGTAAAGATACACTAGTTTTGAAATGATAAGAAGTTACCCCCAAGGTTGTCTTTAACCCCAAGTCTTTGTTTCTCAATAGGCTGGCAGCAGTCCAAATTGTGCCACAGACCATGATGGCCGCACCCCTCTACACATTGCATGCACTGAAGGCCATGTTGACGTAGTTAGATACTTATTACTACGCAGTGCCTCGCCTCATGTTCAAGACAAGTACGGCCAAAGACCAGTGGATGACGCGATAAGACAAGAACACGCAGAGATCATCGAGTTACTGATAGACAGTGGAGCACATGTAGGTTGTACAACTATGGATATGGCTCGTGGGCTGTGTGCACTGGCAGCCGGGAATAAGGTCTCTAAGCTGAGGGCCTGGCTCCTAGCTGGTGCGGATGTTAATGTTGGAGACTACGATGGGAGAACTCCATTACATGTGGTAGGTAATCAGTGCATACAGCTAAAAAACTGTACTACTATGCATGTTTGGAAGACCAGTTACTGCAGCTGTTGCATGCAATATTGGTGGTGAAGAGTTTTCGAAAGATGTTACATGTAGCAAGTTACTTTCTAAGAAAAGCTATCTGCAAATTTGCTGAGAGCAATATACAATTATCAGCAATGTTGTGATGAGAGATTCAATGCTTGCAACATTGTAGAAGTCCAATCTTGATTCTACCACTGTTTTTGTTTCAGTCGAATTAAGATACAATTTCATTAATGAAAAAAAGGCCCATTGACCAAAACACAAATGTTTTTTAGAAAGGATTTGTAGAATGAATACTAAAAAAATACTGAAAAAACCCTCAAAAATGCAAAAGTAAAAGGGTTAATATTTTCTCTGGAAAAGCAAGAGCATTGTCACTGATGCCAATAGCTTGGTCTATTACAGGACTTTTCAGACCCCTTTTTTACTTCTCAATTTTGTTTCATCTTCAGGCAGTGTGTAGAGGTAAAGTTGAGGCTGTTGAGTTTCTACTTGAAAGCGGAGCAGATACGAATATAACAGATGTGTATGGACAATCAGCTTTGGATAATGCAGAATTAATGCGAAATGAAGAAATCCTCCATCTGTTGAAGAGTGACTCCCCTTCCAGACATAATACTGACACGTAGTCTCATGTAAATACTTTCCCCACTCCTTCCCTTCTTGGAAAAAATTGGAAAGGTGGCACCAAATCTTTTCCGAGATAGCAAACATGGTGCATTGTGGTCTAGCTTGGGTACAAATATCTTTTTCCCTTATATGGTGTTACCTGAATCCAAGCTAGACCAGAATGCATCATATTTGTCAAACTCAGAAACAGTCTGAGAATGCCCTCCAAAAATGCCCTTAAACTATTTCTATCAAATGATAAAATTGTTTGACTCGTAATGATAAAATCACACTACAATTTTATTTTCTTATAGAATGGAAACATACTAGTACTTTTTACATACACCTTTTTCAATATAAAACGTGGTCATCGACAAAGCTGATAAACAAAAAGCAAAAGGAAATAAGTTATTCGAAGATCCAAGAACAGCTGGAATGACCTGTGTTTCTGCTTCTTATTCTCGTCAAAAACATGGACCTTTGTGTTGAGACTGATTCAATGTTCTTTTTCGCCTATAGTTTTCAGCAATGATAACATTTTTTGAAATAGGTGTATAATACTGTTCTAGTATCAATCATTGATTACAACACACTATTCAATAACCATGTTTTATCTTTATAACTAATTTAATTATATATTAAAAAAATAGGTGGAAGTTTGAAAAATCAAAAAAATGTATAGTATTGTTAATAGTATTGTTCATAAAATTATTTTATTTAGATAAACAGTCATTAACCATTAAGTTGTAGAGTACAAACACTAAAAGTGTGCAACACTTTGCACTATTTAGTAGCAAATAGTGCTAATTAAACAATAGGATTAGCATAATTTAGCAGTATTTAGTGGTATTTATGTTGCACACTTATAGTGTTTGTACTATAATTCTGTATTTTATTAGTGGCAAAAAAAGCTTGATTTAATTCTGATGCTGAAAATTATTAAATTATCATTTTTAATTTGCACTCAAACCTGGGATACAAAGTTAAAAGAGGAAAACTTCATGGTTATTTTACAGCGAAACTGCCAATTATTATCATGAAATGGGAGATTTATTCAGCATGTCACTGAAAGTACGGGAACCAGTTAAAAAATTCTCCGATGGGAATTGAGCACATCGCCTTGTGTTAATTCTAGATGGATGCTCTATTATCACAGAGAGTTATTCTACACCTTGACACAAATTATCAGAGCAATATTCTACATCTTGACAAAGATTATCACAAAGCATTATTCTATTACTTGATACAAATGATCACAGAGCATTAGAAAGAAGACATTTAACTGGTGAAATAAGAAATACTAGTAGACAAAGGGAAAAAATGGAATTAGAGTCTACCAATGGGTATTAGGCCTAGGGCAAACGTCGAAGATGCACTGAACTTAATTGCATCAAAGAATGCTGCCTCATTATCACCTGATATCCATTGTTTTTAATGAATTCGGTGCATGGAAAGTTCGACGTTTGCCCTAGGCCTTAGTGTAATAACAGGTTCGATGACTTCACTCTATTTTACATTTTGACAAAAATAATAAAATGTGAAAAAAATTCAAAGGAGCGAAATGGAAATTGGGAATAATTTCTACCGTATTAAGTGATTTTATTTGAAATGTACAACTAGGTAAAATGTGTTTAAATAATTATTGTAATGTACAACTAGTGCAATGAATTACAATGACCTGAATCCCATTATACCATAAGAGAAGAGAGATCATAAACCCAATCCTCTAGAGGATAATGTTCAGGCATGCCATTCCTTTGAGTATGAAATCCTGTTACTGACAAACAAAGTAATACTCAAGGGAATGACACATGATCTGAAAAGGCAAAACACTAGATTCATTTGATTTCATAGAGGATATTATGGCCTCTGTACCTGGTCTTTGTTTTGTGCCATTGATGAATGATAATGTATTATTTCATTTTGATTTCAGCTTTCGGGAGTATTTAAGTTGTAGGATATCACCAACTTCATCAATTGCTTCCAATGCCTATAATAATCATAAATAAGTCATTAAAAATTAAATGAAGGGAAGCATTGGGCTCGCTTTGATATCAGCATTGTCTGTGTCCATATAGATGATGGTTAAGAATTCATAAACTAAATAATATTCGTAAGTTTTACAACAGCAATAAATTTATAACCGATTGCTCACAAAACTGTTGCCCTCCCTATGATCAAATTGCGATTTGGAAATTGATTTTTGTAGAGGAAGAAAAACAATGGAAAATCCAGAATAACACCCTGTAAGGAAGAGAGAGAATCTACAAGGTTATTCCATTCACATATGGTGGTCTTGCAGTAATGGGCATCACCTTTGCAGGACCTCCACACACGTAGATGTACAAGTGGTGAGAAGATTGAGAAATATTCCAATATTCAGGGGTGAAAATGGCTGTGATAATTGTAATATCTAACCTTATCCAACATCTCTCTTGTGTGCGCTGCAGACAAACAGAACCTTGCTCTGGATTCTATGATAGGCGTGGCGGGAAAACCAACGACTACCACTCCTATATTTCTTTTTAACATCTCACGACCAAATGCACTGTTGAATGATTAAATCACAAGACAATTAGTCTCTACCAAGGCTGAAGAACGGTACTTTGTGCAGCATTTCATTTATTTGATTCTTAAAGTTCAATCCATTCCATAGAGTTCTGATCTGAGGGATAGTTGGTAAACTATCATTAAACATCTCAACATTGCCATAATAAAATAAATAAATAGGATTTGGTAGTGGCATTTCCACAGAATGGCTTTTCATCCACTGTCATTCCAATGGGAATTTAGAAGTTACTTTTTACAGAGGGAGGAAAGCCGGGGAACCCTCAAAGCACAGGAGAGAACCAACAAACAACTTTACTCACATACAAAACCGACCTCAGCAGGGCTTGAACCTGGGTCACATTGGTAAGAGGCGAGTGCTCTCTCTACTACGCCACGCATGCTTCCCTTAATCACATTGTATCACAAACATTACCATCATCAATCAACCATCATCATCATCATAATACTTGAATACAAACAAGGCTTACGCTATTTTAGCAGGCATGTATAGTAATAGCGGCACTACTGGAGAAGCATCATGACCATATATGATGAAACCCATCTCCTTTAAACGGCATCTGAAGTACCTAGAATCAAGATATTCTGTTAGACTAGTCATGTGGCCATTCATACATTATATATATATATTGTGTAGTTCCAGTAATTATCTATAGCCACTCCACAGAGGAATTTGGAATTTCCAAAGAGTGGGAGTGGGGGGGAATGGTTGGGGGTCAGAGAAAGCACAAAATTACATAATTTGTATGGAAGGAAATTGGAATTTCTGGGGGTGGGGAGGTGTCTTAAAAGAATTCCTCCGTAAAGGGTTGTACAGATAATTTTTGGAACTACACATTATTTATATACTGTATATATTGTTTCGTACACCATATTTATATTTCTGGGAGAAATTTGGAAGACTAATGCTGTTAACAAGACTGAAATAAGACTGGCTATATCATTTCATGTTTATCATCATCAGTCTCACATAGTGTTATATAGACTTACTTTGTGTTATCTGCCAATGTTTTAATTCTTTGCATTCCTAAAACCAAAAAAAAACAAATGTCAGCCTTTATGAGAATATCTACGGCCAATGATATCATTACTTTAGTGATAAATATCTAGAAATATTTGCCAACTGGCACTGTAGTTCAAAGCCTTGTTTTAATGTACAGAAATACTGACCTTTATTAGTACCATCTTCACCGAGAATGATTTTCATACTGGTGTAGATTTGTTGAACAACAGGAGGTGACATGGAGCAAGCATAAGCAGCACTGTGCGAACATGCTCTGATGTGACTTACAATGTCCTGAGGGGAATGAAACAACACTTCCTGGTTATTAGGAATATTGATTCCTTGAACATGATTGTCTGGTTCCTTAAAACATCCTTGTTAAGAGGGTTGAGGGGAATGAAACAACACTTCCTGGTTATTAGGAATATTGATTCCTTGAACATGATGGTCTGGTTCCTTAAAACATCCTTGTTAAGAGGGTTCCCTCAACACTTGAAATTCACTTGAAGTTCCCCTCCATTGGGGAGGCATGGATATTTTCCAGAACTATTTTATCACCTCCTCAGACCCTCCCCTCTCTGATTCTGACCCCACCCCTTGGAAACTTCTATCCCCCTCTATGGGGGAGGTATGAATATTTTCTGGAACTACACTATACCCTCCTCTGACCATCCCCATCCCTTGGAAATTTCAATCCCCCTCCATGGGGGAGGTATGGATGTTTTCTGTTACTACACAATATACCCTCCTCAGACCCTCCCCACCCCTTGGAAATTCCAATCCCCCTCCATGGGTGAGGTATGGATGTTTTCTGGTACTACACAATATACCCTCCTCAGACCCTCCCCACCCCTTGGATATTCCAATCCCCCTCCATGGGGGAGGTATTGATATTTTCTGCAACTAACCAATATACCCTCCCCACCCCTTGGAAATCCCAATCTCATCCACAGAGAAGGATGAATATATTCTGGAACTACACAATATATTCCCTCCTCATTCCATGAAGTTTCATCCCCTCCCCAAAACACAGTGAGAAAGCATGCACGTATATATTCTGATACATCATATTCTATGAGAAATCAACAGTAATAGTCACATTAGGAGTATTCACCTTTGAAGCAGCTATATAACCTCCAGCAGCTCCAAAACTCTTGGTAAAAGTACCCATCATGATATCAATATCGGCAGTGTTCACACCAAAATGTTCTGCCACTCCTCTTCCCGTGGGTCCTATAGCACCTATGCTATGAGCCTCATCCAGGTATAGATATGCTTTGTATTTCTTCTTCAGTTCTACTATCTCTGGCAGTCGCACAAGGGATCCTTCCATACTGGTTAACATGAAAAAACAATGGAAGTTTCAGTCAACAACACTTTCAACTTTTATTGAATTCGGTTAAGCAAAGATAAAGAAAAGAAATAATATTATTTAGACTGTAGCTTCATGACAATATTGTCAAAAATTAAATCAAAATTAACGGCAATGCAGTATGAATTCATTCGACAATATAAAACACAACAATATATCTATAATAAGATAGGAAGTAAATCTAGACTGGGTTCTTTAGCATGTGGCAGTAATATCATCGCTATCCCTCTATGAATAGTTGAAGTAATTTATTCTTACCTGTATACACCTTCTACGATAATCAATATTTTTTTCCATGGGCGATGAGTTCTGGGTTGACCCTGGACTACTGATGTCCTTAAAATATTTTCTAAGCTTTTCATATCTGATGATATATAAATATGAAATCAGTTATTTACATCATCACCACCATCATTATCATCACTACCACCATCATCATCATCTCTACCACCATCATTATCATCACTACCACCACCATCATCATCTCTACCACCATCATTATCATCACTACCACCACCATCATCATCT